ACCCTCTTCAATGCAGTAATGCAGGATGTAAGTCCAACAGCATAAAAATATTTCCTCTGTAGCACTAGCTTGATTTTTCTTTCTGACACACATGTGCTGAGTTGTCTAAAGTGTGCTCATGCACAAAGAGATGGTTGTATGAACAAACTGAAACAATATGACTTGTTGCTTTTCAGTACATGTGTGAAACTGAGGTATGTTTTGCATTTTCTGTGTGCTGTGAAACTGGGGCATTTCCCAGAATGCTTCCTGGGTTTTTCCTGTCCCCTTCCCAGGAGATATCCATCCTAAGTTTTGATTTGTGGGGCAAGGAACATCCTTGTAACATCTTTCTTCTCTGCCTTGAACAGTAGTGACAGCCTTTTAAATCATCCTCATTTTTGCCTTTGCAGAACGTTCTCTCTTTCCTTCCCAAGAGGTAACAAGTAGGGCTTTTAAGTTTGGAGTAGGATCTTTAGCACTGCTCACATTTTGCTTTGCACCATTGAAAATGGCCTTCTGCTTTAGAAACAGCCCTTTTTACTGATGTGGCGTACCATCTAATCGCCATTTCATACTTCAGTTACTTTGGAAATGTAATTTTAATCAAATCTCATGCTTTTTAAATTAAGTAGCAGTGCTAATAGTCACAAAGTCTTTTTTCACCTTTTCAGCTGATATTTTATTCACAAATACTGCAGAAAAAGGTTCGCTCAATCATTTATTTCATTTCATTTCATTTGAAGTTCAGATTCTAATAGATTTGATTCTTTTCCCCTCTTGCTGCTTTTCACTAACATTTTAATGTTACTGCTTTGTTTGTTGGATTGCTACTTGCAGTCCTGTTGGATTGCTACTTGTAGTTCTGCAGGTGGTTCAGAATCAAAGACTCAAAATCAAGAATCTACTTATTATGATCCAACTTCAAATTAATTTCTTAAGGTATCATTCAGTTCCTATGACATGATGGTGACAATTTTAAAAATAGTGAAAATATCATTTCTGACTCTTACAGAAATATATAAAATACAGCATTATTTTATGCAGTTTACTTTCATGAAGACTGAATAACTAGGTTTGGCTGGATTGCACTCTATTAGATTTCAGTTTTTACTTATGTGTCTTCAAACAGCTATCTAAGCATTTCATATATTCAATAATTACTGGAAAGGTATTCAGAAGTATAAACAGCAGAGATGGAAACTTTAGGAGACAGGGTGAAGGCACAAGCCTTGAAGCAGCCTCAAGCTTGTTGCCCCCAAATGCCCAAAATGAACAGAAAAGTGCTAATGGAGGGGGTGGGAGAGATTGCCGAAGAGCAAGAGCCATTGCTTTGCCTGGTCTGTGACCTCATGACAGTGCATCAAAAGAAACACGCTGCCCAGTTAGAGGACTTGTGCTGGTCTTGCCACCTGGCCTTCCACAAAGGAAGCCCCCCTGAGGATGGAACCCCAGATTTATTGAAAGGAAAGAGTTTGGGGGAGAAGTCCCTAGTTTGGGTTCAACAATCATTTTTAGTATGCACATAGGCTTATCTTTCAGCTTACTAGAAAGTGTTGAGAGTCATGTAGCTGCAAAGTGCCAGTGAACACCTGCTTTGCAAAGAGGCTAGTGTTTGGCACTTCAAGGGCAAGAAGGGAGAGGACAGCTAGTAGATCTGTTATGGGCACCTTATCTTTTCTCCCCTCTCCCATTTAGCTGCTTTTTAATCCAACTTTCTATTTTAAAGTGTGCTACTGTGTAGTATGGGATAGCTGCTGTTTAGAAAATGGGGATGTAGCCTGGTGTGAGTGCAGATATTTCTTTGTGGTACTTTGGATTAGACCTGGTGAAATAAGAAGGACTAACAAATTGAAATGAATATAGTCAACTGTAGGACTTGGAAAGTTAGTCTAAAAGACATAGCCCGAAGATACCAAGCAAGTAGACAATTACTGTTAATTTCGGTGCAACCTGAATTAACAAACTTTGCAAATTTTTTAGCATGTAAGGTCCCTATTTATTTATTTGCATTTATATGCCACCCCAATAGCCCAGAGGGCTCTCTGGGTGGTTTACAAACATTAAAACCCCACCAATCCTAAAATAAATAAATTGGCTACACCATTATAATTGATAAAATATTTGTATGTATGTAATTATACGTACCAGTTATACACAATGTAATGTGTATAATGCACTTGCATTTGAAAGAAAATAACACAAGTATTCAGACATTACAAGATATTAACAGACTTTTCAAACCAAGAAATAATAGTTTGGCAGTAATAAAGTTTTTGAATTATAATTGTTCTGTTATTCTTTTCACAAATCTCCTGTACCCAAAGAAATAAATAGTTGATGAATACTTAGCATGTAGCCATTTTCACTTTGTCATATGTAAACTGGCACAAATGCCTGATTTGATTGGCTTGTTTGCTCCAGCATTAAGCAAAATGTATATCTGAAAGCTGTTTGCCCTTGTTTTCCAATGCATGCTTACATTGCATAGTAGAGATTCTGCAGCTAAAAATGTTTCATTTTCTTGGTCTTGGTGTCCCATTTTGGTGTCCCTGATATAGACTGGATGTAAAACAGGTGAGGAATATACTAATGGAGTAGTGACCCTTACCTCACCCAGTCATCTGGATATGCGGCGATGCTATGCCCCTGAGGTTATCTGGTCACTTCTGAAGTATCAGCCCCAGTCTTCACTGAGCACAGCCTTCCCAAGTTGTGGGAAGGTAATCTGCCTAAACCAAGGAGGGTTAGCCTCTGTTTCACTTGGGTGACTTCACCTGCACCACATGCTTCTGATGAGGGCAGGCAAAACACCTAGCATACCACTTCCCTTCATAGTCCAGAAGATAGGCACATGCATAATAAGGGAATTTCCCTGTTAATCTCCAATCAATGGGAGAGATTGTGGGAATTCCTAGGCCCCAGCTTCTGGTATCCTTTGGACGACAGGGCTTGGGGAAGGGAATGTTTGAAGCCTGCAAAAGAGGCCCTGGTTTAAAATGTTGAAGTCAACACTATCTTTCTGTGCTCTTGAAGTGCTACAGTGTTGCACTGCTTTACACAGTATTCTTTTAAGACAAGACTATTTGGCACTGGCTAGGCCACATCTTAAGTATTGTGTCCAGTTCTGTGCATCACACTTCAACAGAGATGTAGGCAAAGTGAAAAAGGGCCAGAGGAGGGCAACAAAGGACTGGAAACAAGGCCCTGCGAGGAGAGATTGAAAGAGATGGGCATGTTTAGAAACATAGAAACAGAGTGAGTCAGAAGGGGTCTCCTGGGCCATCTAGTCTGACCCCCGGCTCCGCTCATGACATGCCCACCATGTTTAGCCTTGAAGAGAAGATTGAAGGGAGATATAATAGAACTTTGCAAATACTAGAAAGGCTGTCACACAGAGGACGGGCAGGATGGCTTTTCAGTCATCCCAGAGTGTAAGGCATGTAATAATTGCTGTAAGTTACAGGAAACCAAATTCCAGCTAGACAGCTGAAAAAGTTTCCTGACTGTTAGAGCAATATGGTGATGGAACCAATTACCTAGGAAGGTTGTGGGCTCTCCCATGGTAGAGGCAGTAGCTGGACAGCCATCTGTCAGGGATGTTTTAACTTGGAGTCCTGCACTGGGAAGGAAGTTGGGCTTGATAGCCATATAGGCCCCTTCCAACTCTTATTATTCTACAATTCTGTTCAGAGCAGTAACTTCATCATCAAAAGAAATGTGATTTGTCATCCTAAGTTCATTAGATAGCAAAATGATATCTGCTGTCATAAGACAACTGGGAAAATGGTTTTAAACAATCTGGAGTCAGGAGCTGGGTTGGGGCAGCCCAGTAGTTCCTGTCTGCATGAAGCATTAGAAATGGTAGATTAATATTTAGCAATTCTTCAGGCTTAGTTTTCTCTTTGAAAGGAGTGATTGGCACACTAAGGAAAACAATGCTGTCTTCTCTCGAAGAAGCATTAATCCTGCCTTATCCACGGTTAAAGAGATACTTGTTTCTCTTTTCACTGCTCATGCTCATATTGGCCACATTTCCTTCTGTTCCATTCCTCTGTAAGTGATCACAGTCATTCAGTGATCATATACTGTATGTTGTGATGTAACTTTATCACATACTCAGAACAGGTGTGGCTATTTGTTGACCTCACTAAAGGAAAACGAAACCTATTTGCAGTGAGGGCAGTGCATATACTTTCTGTACAAGTCATGTGAGCAACTCTAGCTAATCAGACATTGCCAGATAAACACTTTGACCCTTTTTGTAACAATCCAGCAATGCTGTTGATGGAAGATTTGCATGTGAGGGGGTGGCTGTTTTAATTCTAATCAAAATTTTTGTGAAGCAGGCCCATTCTTCAGTTCAGCTCTAATACTTCACTTCAACTCATTCCTAAAGAAGATTTAGTTCCATTTATTGGTGGTATGCAAATTCAAGTGGCATTTTAATTTAAGTCCTTGGAATATTAAATATCTTGATTAGTTTGTTGCTTTATATTTTAATTCATGTATGGTAATTTATTTGTGCAGAACGTCATACTTGGCACACAAGTGACTGCCTGTGAGGCTGTCCCAAAATCCAGCTGCATTTCAGTCAATTTATAGATTTGGAGAAAGAGGGATACTGACGGAAGAAAAAGAGAGAACTTGTACAGCCAATTAAAGCTTTCTAATGTTTTCACTACTGTTCAGTGATGCATGTTTCCCTATTACCCTTTATGATGCTGAGTTAAATGCTGCTGTATGTGCAGTGAGTCTACTTGCTCTGTAGAGTTTTAACTGGCCACTGGGTAGATGGTTGGTTCTGAATCTGGGAAACCCATGTCCAGACCTCTGCCATCTGTGAAATTTACAGGGTCACCTTGTGGAAATGTAACTGTGTCTTCGTCTCCACCTTTCATAGTAACTTTGAGCCTAAAATGCTGCTCTGAACTCTTTAGAAATAGGAAAACAAATGAACACATCTTCATTTGTATATGAAGTTGTATATGATTGATTCAATTTGAACTAATTTCTAATAGGAACAAGAGTTTGTACAGAAACAGCAACAAGAACTGGATGCATCTCTGAAGAAAATAATTCATCAGCAAAAAGCAGAGCTAGCCACCATTGAACGGGATTGTCTAAATAACAAGCAACAGCTCATGAGAGGTACTTTTGTCCTGCTTGTCATTGTTGAATTAAAACATTATGAACTTGAAGGAAGCATTAGGGCTCCAGCCACTTAGTACTTTTTATATGCATGAAAAGGAATAAGAACACTTGTGAACTAGCATCCCAAGTCACTGTTTGTTGAATGGATACAGGAAAATCCAGTTGAGCTTGTCTTCACCAAAATGGTCTTCCCCAAGCAGAAGGGTGATGTTAAACATCCGTTTTAAAATGTATTGTTTGTTTTCTGATGGCTGCCAGGCCTAAGTGTCTATAATTTCAGCTTGTCAGTTGGAAATCATTTGATTGGTACATTTTCTCTATGTATATGAGTATGTAATTAAACAATGGTGGCTTAGTGAAGGCTATTTTATAAGGAATGTTTTAGAGTGACTTTTTCAGTGATCTTGTTACATTTTTCTTCCCCTCCAGCCCGTGAAGCTGCAATATGGGAGCTGGAAGAGCGACACTTGCAGGAAAAACACCAGCTGCTCAAACAGCAGCTGAAAGATCAGTACTTCATGCAAAGGCATCAGCTGCTTAAACGGCATGAAAAAGTTAGTGTTTTCCCAGTTTTTTCCCTTGGACTTCTTTGAAAAACAGTTCTTATTATATGAACCAATTTTATTTACATCATTTCAACCATTTAATATTAAGTCATACTTTTAATAAAATACGAACTTTGAAAAAGCATCTTAAATTCAAGGCAGAAAGGAGCAATACACTAGTGTATTAGTTTATACATAAATAAAAATTAATACACAGTGTATAAAGGGAGCAAACTGGAAAAGAATAGGACTGATACTGTAAGCCATATGCCTACTTCAAAATTATTCTTAATTTTACATCCTTATAACAGCATGCTATAGACATTTAAGCACACTTTATGTTAAAGTTTTTGTTAGTATGTAATATGTAAATTTGTGTTTGTTCTTATTGAGCAGTTATTTAAAGCTTTCTCTACAATTTTTATCATTATGGAAATGTCATTTTGAAGTACTCAGTATGTATAGGAAAATGTTCAACTGAATGTTGTTCAACTGAAATCAGTTTTCTTCTTGCTGCTGTTTTTGTTATGCAGGAAACAGAACAGATGCTAAGATACAACCAGCGGCTTATTGAGGAGTTAAAAAATAAACACACACAAGAAAGAGTTCGACTGCCTAAAATCCAGCGCAGTGAAGCAAAAACTAGAATGGCAATGTTTAAAAAAAGCCTAAGAATTAATTCTTCAAGCACTCCAGAACAGGATCGTGAAAAGATTAAGCAGGTAAGGGTGAGCCTGCCTGTAACCATCTGAACTTTGGAGGATTATCCACATCCTAGGCAGGGCAGGAAAATCATGCAGATGAAATACGGCTGTACTGCAAAGCAGTTAGACTGATTTCAGTGGTTTAACTGTGGTGCTTTAGAGAGGGAAGGAAGGAGGCTGAGGCAGCACCAGGATATTTGGCAGTGCTGATGAAGAGCACTCCAAGCTCAGAGTCCCAACTTTGGCCTCAGAACTGTTATTCAGTGTTGGAGCTGGGATGCTAAAAAATCCTTTGGCCCTCTAGACATTGTCTAAGTGCCATATGATGACTCTGTATGTAGTTTTAAATGATTCAGGTGTAAGTCATTTGCATGAAGGTTAAAGTATCTTAATAGAAACTCTGTGCAATTTCATGAAACTCATATATTATATGGTCTCCCAAGACTGGATATCTTTAACTCTATATTTGACACTGATTACCATTGTGCACTTGAATATAGTAAGCCAATTCTGACTTCTATTATTCATGAATTAGATTGTTTAGGAAAGATCCAAATTAATACAGTATTCACTGGAAATGAATGATGGTTGCCCCTATGGATAGCAGCTGTGTAACAGCCAATCCATTTTCATCTGGTGCACTGCTAATTGCAATATAATTACACTCTTCTTGCATGTTACACTGCTATTTAATTATATGCTTAAATGTATGAACACCAAATAGATTTTAAGTTTTTTTTTAAAGTTTGCTATTCAAGAAGATAAGAGACAAAAAAATGAAAGACTGGCTCAGCATCAGAAGCATGAAAATCAAATGCGAGATCTTCAACTACAGTGTGAAGCCAACATTAGAGAACTGCACCAGCTACAGGTGAAACATATAAAACATAGTGTCTAATGCAACCATGTCTTAGCCATGTTAATGGATACAGAATATGCATATACTGATTACAGTGAATTTTTATTTGTTGACTATATTTGCAGGAACTTCTGCATGAAAATGTGAAATGTGTTGTAACTTTCTTGCTCAGCTGTGCAGGTACATGCATATAAACAAACTGTACCATTTTCTTTCCAAAGAACTCCTAACATATAGTTTAGCAGTATTAACAAGCACAGTCTACAAAACTGGTCTCTCAGAAACTGTCTTGTCATTGCTGGAATATCTGTGATAGTTTCTAGTACACCAAAGAAGAAAGTGCTTTCTCAGGTATCCTGGTCCCAAGGGTCCCACTGTACACCCTGGGAGCAAATTGGTAGCAAGTGCAGTTTCTTCAGCAAAGGAGTTGCATGCTGAAAAAAAGCAGCTCCCAATAATGACTGAACCCTGCATTCTGCACTAACTCCAGCTTCTAGAGCAACCTCAAGGACAGCCCCACACAGAATGCACTACAGTAAAGGGTTCTTGAGTTTAGCAGTGCCTGTATCATTGTGGCCAAGCTATCCTGTCCAAGACAGCCATAGCTGGAGAATCAATTGGAGATGGAAAAGCACTCTACGAGTATGCCCAAACTTCGGATCTGATCTTGCAGGGAGTGTGCAACCTCCTCTAGAACAGGAAGTATACCTGTCTCTCAGACTCAGAAATCATGCATTCATCTTGCCAGGAGTAATCCTTGGTTTACCTTCCTCCAACTAGCCCATCATTGAGTCCAGGCACTGTGATCTAGCATTTGCACAGCCTCTTCTGATTCAGTTGTCAAGCAGAGATGGAGCTATGTATCATCAGTGTACTGACAGCACTTGGCTCCAAATCCCCTAATGTCCAGAAGCTTTATATAGACTTTAAATAACATTGGATGGTGTGCTGCAGAGCCCCATAACTCAATTGTCAAGGGTCTGAGAAACAGCCACTCAATGTATTCATTACAGTCAACCCTACAAGTAAGGCTAGGATCGTTGTAATGCAGTGCTTCCAGTCTTATGTCCCCCAGAGCCAAGCTTAGGCGGATGCAGCAGGCAGCAGTAACAAAAATGATGAAATAGTGAGTAAAAATAACCTATATCTCTCCTGATGAAGGTCTTCCATCAGGGCGACCATGGCTGATCCCACACATATGCAATGTTCTGCAAAGAATTCCAGATTCCAATGTACAATGTACAAAGAATAGCTATCAGCCTAAAGCAGTTTGAGGCTACAGGCTCCAACTGAAGTTTTAGAGTAGTATTGTTCCTCCTATCTAAAATTTTCAGGCCCAAGAGGATTTTCTTGTCCATCTGTAGACAGAGCTTTTTGCAGTGAATGATTTGAGGGTCTGGGATAAGCCATGATACTTGGAACAATGGAAGTCTTGAATTTGTGTAGGTGCCCATGACTTAGACAAAACTAATGTGTGAAATAAAATGGTACACTTAAGGTTGCTAACAGCATACAAGGTTACTGCAACTATTTTCAGAGACCCTTCTTTAGGACATTCGACCTTCTGAAGTTAAGGAAGCAATGACTTGGAAGAGTCCCTCTCAGTTGTAGTGCCCTGTATGTGGAATCCCTTTCCCCGGAAGGTTTTCCTGGCACCAAATTTGATATCTTTTTGGTGTTTGACAACTATCTCTTTGTTTATCTAGACGTTCTAGCATGTTCTTTAGCTACTCATTTTCAGTGGTTTTATGAGTTTCTTAATCTTACTCGGGATGTATGGCTTATGTAAATCTGTCCCATCTGTGTTTTGCAAAATAATCAGGTGCCTTTTGGTTTTTTTGTTCAGTTGTTGACACAATTACATTTTTTTTAACTAGACTTTTGTTCTGCTTGTTCTAATTCACAGCTATCCCAATGCACCAATCTATGTTAGTTAATGCAAATTAGCACAAATGAGAAAAACTGCTGCACATTGGTGCAAGTTGCATTAGCATAAACGACACTAATGCAAAAATCACCCCCTGAAGTGGAAAAGCTATTCAATGAGTCCATGGAATCTGCACATCTCAGAAAAAAACAAGCATGCTGCAGAATCTGTGGATCCGATTCCTAAAAATCCAAACTCAATTGAATCCATTGCTAATTTCTACAATATCCCTACTTCAGACCTGTTTTTACTATTTTTGTTACACCTGTTTTATGTATTGTTTAATGTATGCTGATATTTTAATTAGTAAGCAGAACTAGAAATTCTGGCAAAGTGATGCATAAAAAATAAACTAGGGAGAGGATATCATGGCCAGGGAGAGGATAGCATGAAACTTCTAGTCAGGCTAACCATACAAAAACCAGTCGCTTTTTTTAATGAGGAAGATTTTATGTGAGAAGCACATATTGGAGTGCCTGCTGTGATAGATTGGAGGTGACTTCATATGTCTTCCTTGCACACACAAAACACAGTGCCAGATATTCTGTAAATCTGGTTCTGCTGGTACTGGTTCTGAGACATATTTGAAATGTCTGAGAGACATCTGAGAAATGAGAGACATCTGAGAAAAAAACCCTAATATATATTCTTTCTATTTTTTAAAGGAATTCAAATGATTCTTTGTGTTGAAAAGCTAATATCTTGATAGCTTGTATTACTAAGGTTGTATGTAGGTTTTACCTTTGTCACTGTACAGTCTAAGCTAATTAAAGAATTAGGTCAACATATGCTGCTATACAAGTGGCTAATCTTCTAATCTGGTTTAGTTTTACTAAGGGATTATCTGTATCCCATTTTCAGAATGAGAAATGCCATCTACTGGTTGAACACGAGACTCAGAAACTAAAAGAACTGGATGAGGAACATAGCCAAGAACTGAAAGAATGGAGAGAGAAACTGAGACCAAGAAAAAAGGTAAAATATTGGTATATATGTTTTTTTTTAAATTCTGGTCAGCATGCCAGAGATAAAAGCCATCAGATGTATTTACAGAACAAAATATTAAGAGTACTAGTAACATCAACTCATACATAAAATTACTCCAAAATATATATCAAAGACATTTCTCTGGGAACAATTTTCCTGCATCAGATATTTGCATCCTTGTTCTTACCACTACAGATTTGGCTATGATGAATGGAGCTGACAGTTTTAAATGGCAACAGAGCTAAATTTGGACTAATCTGCCCAATACAAAGGCAATCTTTTGCTGCTTACAAGTAGTTACAGTATAGAAATTGCAGAATGAGAGGGCATGTTCTAGAGATTCCATCTCTTGCCTGTTACGTGAACAAACCTGCAAGGGCAGGGGAAACCAGAGCTAATAGTTGTAAGCAGACTGTCACAAACTGGACAAATCTGAAACACCAACCAAAGACTATATTTTTTAAAGGGGCATTTTGCTTACACTGTGCCAGTGGCATTTTCAGCTTTTGCTGTAGAGTTTGTATAGGAAAAAAGCATATAAGCATGTTAGTAGGCACAGTTACATCTTAGGGCAGTCATAGAGTGAGGTACCCATCGTTGTTGCACTAGCAGCACCTTTGGAGAATTATTCTTTATTGAATATTAACAGTGGTAACTATGACAAAATAAAGTGATTATGTGGGTTCAAATAAGTGCTCAAAAAACTTGTGCATTTCTTTCAAAAATAGCTTTGACCATTCTGCCTCTTACATAGCAGAAGCTGTGTTCTTCAGTGTCTTCAATCGTAACCCTTCTGTGCTTTCCCACCACTTCTATCTCTTTTATTACTATGGGAAATCCAGTAAGAAAGAAAAAACAAAACTGCACAATACCTTCTTATTGTGGAAATGCATGCAGTCGCCTTTGACACATGGGCTGAAGCATTTGTTCAAAATGGTTACCACTGGTGTCATCTCTCTGTAGGACCAGTTACCAACTGCACTAGAAAGCCCTGGCTGACAACTGATATTTAAGAAGACCAGAGATGCTAGCAAAGTTCTTGTTAAGATCTTCTCAGAGAATTTTTTTGGAGGGGGATCCTTCCTTAAGTTGCTTTTTGATACCTGCTGGTTTCTTGTACATTAGAATTGTTCACATGCAGTTCAGCGGGGTCTCTGCCATAGCTTCCACTTGCTGTTCACACTGTAAGAGATGGGGGCTGTAAAGTTCCCATTCCATACACATATACATTGTGTGTGAGGTGTATAATGGTGTGGGTGGGAGGAGTTTGAAATTAAGACTGAACTACAATTCACTGGAATTGCTGGGAAAGGGGGAAGATTGCTGCAGCATCTCTGTAGGAATTCTAATATGTAGACATTTTTGAAACAAGTTACATGCCCTTCATATATTTTACATAGCAAATGTACCTCAAGATTGCAACTTGGAATTATTTCCCTAACAACCTATTAAATTTAAGCAAATAGTTTGTTTGGTAGCTTGCTTAAGATAAATTAGAACAAAAGCTAGCATTAAGTCCATTGCATTTATTTGTCTGTCTGTCTTTGTCATTAGACTTTAGAAGAGGAATTTGCTCGAAAGCTTCAAGAACAGGAGGTTTTCTTTAAAATGTCTGGAGAATCTGAATGCCTTAATCCATCAACACAAAGCCGGATTTCTAAATTCTACCCAATTCCTAGCTCTATGCACTCCACTGGATCATAAATCTTAAACCTCTGTGAGGTGGTTTTGAGTGTACTTTAACATTTTCAATTAACCATCTTCAGCTTCTGGAAGAATAAAATCTACAGCCTGTATCGAAGAACCTCAGAGGAGCTTCATCCACTTTAGTGGAGACAATCAATGATTCCAGAATTTTTCCCCTATTGTTTTCATACTGGGAAACAGTTTAAAATAGAAGCACAGATGTCTTGGAATCTGCTATGATGTCTTTTGTGCATTTCAAGACTAGATAGCCATTTGAAAACAGGTCTGAAAAAAATGTAACTATGTTATCACTTGAAAAGCAGCACTTAGCTATTAGTGATAATCTGTCATGCCCCAATTCAAAGATAGTACTATAATTTAAATCAAACCTCTATTGTGTTAAGCCCATTACTTTGAGGAAATGGGTTCATCGCTTCACCTTTTCAGTGCCTGAAATGATTAAAATTGCTCTTATCACTAAAGAAACTTGCTATTATATTACTGTAACAGAAATTATTGCTGTTGCCACAATGGTTGTCAAAACCTTGCACTGAAATCCCCTGTTCAGCAGTGTACTGTTTATTCCCCCTTCCCTCTTTCTGGCTATAGTGTTCTACAAACTGATATTAGATTGCAGAATTTATTTCCCTTTTTTTAAGCATGCCCCCCCCCTTTTCCCTCAGGCAAAACACACATTACAGATATGCGGTTTGGGTGGTATTTTCTCTTTACCTAAGTAGAAGTTTGAGACTCCAGAGCTGTAATCGCCTGTGAATGTCCCCATACTTACATGCCAGTTCAGTTATCTGATAGAAGAAGATTTTTTTTAATTTCAAAATGTATTTTGATCTATAGAACGGTTTTAAATAAATAAACAATTTGATCTGCTATTTTGTTTTTCCATGAAGTAACTGAACATAAATGGGTTTATTTCTTAAATTCATAGTGGTATTATAACTTATTTTCGGTGGGGGTATGGCAATATTTATGTTAGCAAGAGTTGTGCTTGAATTCAACCAAATTTAATCTTTGAAGGCTTCAAACTTGAGTCATATCAAGAAGCAGTATTGTAAACTGTTCTTTTGGTATGCCAGTCTTAGGCTTGTAATATAAATGTTGGTTGCTTCTTGTCTTCTGCAGCCTAATCTTTTAGTAGATAACTTTGAATACTCAACTGTAAGTTTTCACATTTTACTATCTTTCTTTAAATGTGAGAAGCGTCACTTTCTTAGGAGTTTTATATTATGTCAACAGCATTCCTGCATGTGAAGGAAGCAGATTATAAAATTGCATAGTACTTTAATGAATTGTGACCAATACTTTGATTACAGAATTCAGATATTGAGCTTGAACTTGTCTGATTGTGACAGTGTAGTATGTTTAGTTTGAAGATGCATGTTTTCAGTTAAAATCTGTTCTTTCCAAATTTACTTTTAGCAAATATAATTAGGTTTAATACCTTGCATTTTATTTTATAAATATGTATTGTGTATCAGGTTGTGCATTCATATATACTTCACTAGAATGTTGCATTTTTCTGTATACAAAGTTATTAAATTTGTTTATTCTGAATTGCTTAGAGTGAAAAAGTATTCAAAAGCCTTTACTTTTTTAAGCTTCACCTTTATTAAATAACTAGTATTAACTATAACATTAAAATTGTTTATCTGTTTAATCAACAGATAGTCTGTTTTAAATATCTCAAGTTCACTGACTTACTGGGGAAACTATATGTCCATCAGTTTATCTTATTAGTTATCTGTTCTCTCAATGTTTGCTACTCTGAGGGGTTTTACTGCTGTGATAATTCAGTTCCTTCAGAATGAATTATATCCCATCTACATTTATGACATCTCACAAGAAAATCAACAAAATAAGAAACTTGCTGTGCTTGATCTTTTCTTTTATCGCTGCTGGGTTGATATTCTTCTGTCTTTGCTGAACACAACATATTTTATGCCTTAGAAAATCAGGTCTTATCTCAGCATTATCCTAATTTTATTACATTGGCTTGGTGCAAATGCCAAATCATGGGCTGAATGTCCTAAATACGTTAGTGCATTCTCCAATATTTACAAACTCTCATTCTTTCTACTTCCTGGGACGTGATAATCATAGGTTGCCATGACACTTAAGATTTGACCATGTTTATATCGGACCAGAACTGGATACCCACTTCAAATAGTTGCTTGTTCTTGTTTAGAAGCAACCTGGTTTGCAGTATTCATATTTTCCCTGATTTGGACATCATAATTAACTGTTATAGTGAGTCAACCAATGATAGGAAAAAAACGGAAGATGCAAGGATAGCATACTAGCATAGCACACATTCTTGAACCATAAGCCATAGCTTGGTTGTGATACTTGAACAAGGCCACTCCCGAATAATTAGAGTTAGAAATATGATAGATCAATGGATGGCTAGCCAAGATTTGGTTCTCTTCTATTTCCTATCCCTGCCATGCAAACATCATTAGTGGTCTTCCAAACGCTTCCTATTATATTTACCAATAATAACTATTTTGTGGACTTCAGTTTTTTATGAAGCGCTAAAAATATGTCCTTAACTTAGATTTTTTAAAATGCAACTATTTAAAGGAATTTCAGGTGGCAAGTGATGCCTTTGAATGAAATGTTGCTTTTTTGTGAGAAGTGAGGGGTGCCTGTTAAATTGATGCCTAATGCAACATGTGTGCATCATCTAACATCACAGCATACCTCCTGCTTCTGGAGAATTCTGATTTTTTAATTTTATTTTCTATCATTCCAATAGCCAGAGCTTTCTGAGAAGCTCAGAACAATTTAAAATTTTCATTTATTCCCCCTTCATATTTAACCATATGCAAATGTAATCATTCATTCAGTTAAACTTCATACAATAGACTGAGTAAAATTGTCAAACATGTTACAAAAAAGCATTAGCTGTATTATACCAGTAATTAGATGAATTTTAAAAATTACTTGTTAAAAAGACAGTTCTGTCTGATAGACATGAAACAAAAGCTTTTGCTGAATAAGAACCATAAGCTTGGCATGTAGATCCAAGAAGTGGCAATCCATTGATAGGAAATTTTGGTGGCACTCACAGCATTTTCTTAAATTTTCAAATGTGCCTGTGGAGTCAGACACTTTGATATGCTGTTGTGTTGCCTTAAGTGGGCATTACAATAGCAAAGTGACAATGCTGCTGTTCTACACATTAAAATAAAATAGCAAGCATGATTTGGCTAGCATGTTCCTCCTTATCAGACAGGAAGAAGTGTAAGATACAGACTTCTGCAGAATTAGCGGCATAATATAATTCTATAGTTGCTCAGTTGAACTATGTAGTTTTAATGCTATGAAATTCTTCTGCTCCAGTTAGGTCTGTGACTTTGGCACCTGAACATTTGATCACAGACATTTGATCAGTTTCAGCCACCAAAGACCACTTTCCTGCAGTGAGATCAAGCATTTTATTAAAGTACATTATAAACGATTTCATTCACAGATAATCTGACAAAGTATAATATTCTCTTCAATCTCATCTCTTAGAACTCAATATCATTGCTCTAAGCAATACCAGAAAAGCATTCTGAGCTCTGCTTTGTTTTATCAAAGGAGTAAAAACTACTGAATCACTGTGATAACTGAAAATAGCTTAGATCATAGCAGCTAAGGTCGATTTTCAGACCCTTCTTACACTGAAATCATTGTAATAGGAATACAGTTGGTTCTCATATCCTAAACCTTCTTTGAAATTTCTGTCACTGCTATTTTGGTATGCATCCCAAGAATGTTTTGAGTAGTGGGGAAAACTATTTCTTTAGAAAGTTTTAGTAAAGCTGTAGTCCTGTATTCTGAATGTTTGATTTTCACATTTCTTCTTAACTTGCTTTCATCTCTGGGGAGCAACACATTAAGAATTCAGTAAGCAGAATTTCAGTTGCCTGGCTGCTTCCTCTGCAGTAAAGTTTTCTTCTTTTCTTTAGCTGATGAAATAGAATTTGTCTGCACGCATACACACACTGCCAAGCTTTGAAAGTTCATTTTCATTTCAAAGTATGCATGCTGTTTACACACTTCCAATGAAAGAATTCCTACATCTTAGCTGGGTTTTTCTCTGGAATGACAACTCTCTTCTGTTTCCCATCTTGAATGAATGTGTATGTTTTTACCTGCCTCTCAGATGGAAATGTCTGTTTTGATGAGAATTATTTGAGTATTCTCAGATTATATGTTCAAAAGTGACAGAACATGCTAGTTTGTCTTATGATTTTTGGTCCCACAAAAGGTTCCCCAGGGTGGCTTCAAGATGATAAACCACAAAATATAATAGAAAATGTACTATATATCAATTATTAAGTCAACTATACAAGAGAGGTATAAAAACAACTGAGTTAGTTCAAAAATGCATCTCCATAGCTGGAGTTACAAATAGATTAAAGGTGTGACGAAAGTATTTGTCACTTTTCTTAAAACTCTGGAGGAAAATCAGTCAAACCTCTTTAGGGATGGATTTGGCATCACCGTGGAGAAAGCTTTTTTGTGTGTCCCCACCAAAGATGACAAGTCATAGCTCCTGAAATGTGCAGGTCCATGTGGAAGAAGACGGTCCTTCAGATAACCCACATCAAGCAGAACTTTCTAGTTCATGATCAACCCAAGTTGGTGCAAAAACAAGCAAACAAACCAGTGTAACAGGTTCTGAAGAACAACAGAAATCATTTGGACACTGTACTGCATGGCAGCTGGAGTTTCCAAAGATCTTTGGGCAGTGTCACATAAAACACATTGTCATAGTGCAATCTGTGTGTGAACAGATTGTGAGTGACTGGCCAGAACTGCATGGTCCAGGGAGGGGTGCAGTTGATGCACAAGCCAAAACTGAAAAGGTGGTATCCTGACCACAGCTACCTCCTTGGGCCAGGAGCACTGCAGCCTGCAAGGCATGACCCTAATGAGCATAAGTTGAATTTTCAAGCCTGAATTAGCAGTCTTGTTAGCCAAAAGCAGACCACAGCTACACTGAACACTTCTACCTCCAAGTCTAAATCAGGTCTTCTATTGAACAAAAGCATTTCTGTGTACCGTGAATTAGACCAGCTTATTAGTCTGTATCAAACCAGTTGCTGCACCCAGAAAACAAGTGGTTTCCCTGGTATTATAAGAAAAGCAGAAAACCAGCAAGAAAGCTGGAGGCTCTGTATCAATGACCTCCAAATCTCTGGAGAACCACTCTTGGCATCCTGGACAACATGGTTACCTACTTAGCAGGTAAGGCTGGAGTCTAAAACAAAAAGAAAATTGGGAATTGAGTAAAACTTCTGAATGTTGCAACCCCCCTTCTTTCCTCAATTTTTAAAATAATGTTTTTGTTGAGTTTGAGCTGATGGAAACTAAATGCAAAGCCAATACAAGCTTCCCCAATTTCCATTTCCTGTCAAGCAGCCTAGAAGGATATCATAGTTGATTAGGTGATGGGGAGGGTGGCCAGGCACCCTGGAGAGCCACCAAGAGGCCTTGACAGAAGTTGTGACAGAACAACACTCCAGCTCCCTTTTTGCTTTTTCTGGAAGCTGGAAGCCAGGGGAACACTATGTGCAACCTCCTCTTGTGTTTGCTAGGAGCAAGCTTATCCTAGCAAATTGCATCCTCATGCAACAGCTGGACATGACACAAGTTTATAAAAAGAAAAAGGCATGCTTTGCTTAAGGGCAAACTGCCTGGCAGCCAATTAAATGCAGCCCTGCTCTTTCAAAAACGGGGGGGGGGGGTCAGAATGGTGGTGGGGAAGGACCATGCCTGGACAATGATAGAGTTAATGGCCTGGGCTCATTCAATTAAGCTTTGCCTACCTGACCACGGTGGAGTGCAGCATGTGCTAACCGACCACATTTGGGGAATGGAGCTGGACTCCATCAAGCATGTAAAGAAGACCGTCATCATCCCAGTGTGATCTGCTGCTGCTTTTCTCCCTTTTGGTTCCTTTCTGCATGGGTAGGATATTATTTTCCTTCACTGGCTGGTCATTTTCCACAGCATTAAAAAAAAGGTCCATTCCCAGCAGAGTCCAAGTAATTCTTTGTGTATGAAGCAGGGTGGAGAGGGGACGGATTCTGTTCTTAGTTTTTTTTTCCATTTATGGCACTGCAGCAACTGAAGAGGGCTGTTGCGGTGACAATGATGATGATGACAATGTCAACAGCTTTGGCACTATTTGCTTGTGCTTGCCAAGTGCTGCTTGTGTTTTGAAATGATGAGATAGATGGAGCAATCCTATGTAAGGCTACTCACTGAGCTCTATGGGATTTACTAGTTTTGGTTGCTTTTCCTCCCTCTCAACTCTCCTTTCCCTGTCAATTTGTTTGGAAGAGAAGCTCAGCTAGAAATTTCTTTAAGTTGTTTTTATAAATGGGCTGATGAACTGTTTGTAAATTTGGACCAGCAATTTTCTGGCCTAAACTAATAACTCTCATTGAAAACCATGCTTGCAATCCACTTTGCTTTACTGTATAATGCATCTATGTCACACTGTGAGCATGTGGTTTTAAAAACCTTTTCAGTGGTGCAAATTATTGTCTAGCTAAATTCCTCTAATGTAATGCTTGCTGGGCTGCATTAAAAAAAACTACAATTATATAACTCAACTACAATTGAAAAAAAAAACTACAATTATATAACTCAAATGCACACTCCT